CTGCAAAACATTAATATTTTAAAGTTGAAAATATTAACTTAATTTATTTATCTTGAATATTAACTTAATTTATTTATCAATGCAAGTTATAGAAGGCAAATCCAAATATACATATTTGCCTGCTCAAATGCTCTAATGTGGCGTTTCCACTGCTCTTGATTCGCTCTCTATTCATTGTTTGACCCTTAACTATGAAAAAACTACCTAATTCTTCACGCAAAATTTCCTGATCGAACACTCATAATTGTACATTGTTTAAATCAAACAACTCTCAGAACAACAAAAGAATATGTCACATCTCAAACAAATGAGAACATTTGTCGGAAAAATAAGTTATGACATTTAAAAATAGAAAAATTTAATGAAATATAAATTTTTGGGAAGACCGAAAATTATGAATGAAAACTACAATGTTAAATGGCATATGTACAAACGAAAGTTCTTTTTTTTTCTCTCATTCGAGGGAGAAAAACAATAATTTTTTTTATTCATATTAGTGAGAATTTCATGTATTTTCGTATAAATTCCCATTAAAATCAACAAACAAAATTTTTGAGAAAAGGAATTATTTTACTATGAATTACGAATCGTGCCGTATGAACGGGTTAATTCGTGTACATAATTCTGAGAGCGAATAACGTGATTGAAAGTGTAATGAGAACATAGCATAAGACAATAAAATGCACAACTATACTTTTTAATTAAAAAATATCGATATTTCGTATTTGACTTTACTGTTTATAAATCTCATCACAAAAGCATAAATACAATTTGAAAAAATGTTCATCCATCAAAAAATTGTTGTGCATTGTGTGTTAAAGTTTTTCTGGAGTTTTATGATGTCGGTGGTCACTTAATCAAAATACCTTTCGGATTTGGATGCCAAATTTGGTTTTCACATTTTACCACAATAGTCATTTACCCATATTGCGTTGTACGTTGAATGGCAACTCCAAACGTAATAAGGTAGCAATAACAGAGCCATCCTTGATTCGTTATCATTGGTTTAGAGTTTTCGTTACCAAAGAGGCAGAAGAATAATCATGTCTTATTCCTTTAAGAATAGTTGATCCCTCGTGGGCTAGGAACGGATTTAGATAATATAAAGAAAAGCAGTTTTGCATGCCTTGCTACATGCAACCCAAGGATAATGATTCGATCATCAGGACAATATTTAAATAAAGGGGACGGCCAACACAAAAGGGCGGCGAATATTTTGTGGCAGCCATGACGCACACAGTGATGAGACGATGATGAGACAATCCCACGGCGGCCGGTTCTATGTACCGGATTGACTCGGAGGTACAATTCTCCGACCAGTGACCGCCAACCCAGCAAATACATGTTCGTGTTCGTCAATTTCATGGTTCTGCTCCGTTTGTCGTAATCCCATCCACCACAGATCGGTCTCGGTGAGATGCAACGGATTCATGGAGTGGGTGCATTTCCGGAATTGTTCCGGCTTAAACCTGATACAGGAGTACAGCGATAGGGACTACATTGCTTCCTGCTGCGTCAATGTAGACCCCAGTGAGTCTTCATCTTCGGCGTCTTCATCGTCGTCGCAATATGAGACTCCCCTGCAATTTCCTCAACAGCAATTTACGCAGCAGTTGACACCAAATATTGCTGTTCAAGTTCCGGATAATGCGTCATTTCTCCAGTTTAATTGTGATGGTCTCCGAGGTAAGAATAACGAAATCGTAAGCTTCATGAGTCGAAAGAACATCAAGGTCGCAGCGATCCAGACTTCAGAGTTGTGATACAACGTACTGAAGAAGCATCGCTCCAAGGGTGGAGGTGGAGGATTAGCGTTCCTATTGCACCACTCTGTCCAGTACAGACTTATCTCGCCTGAGCTGGACTCTAGTAACCCGTACATGGAATGCATGGGGGTAGCGGTCAAGTGTGGAACCGCCGAGGTAGAGGTGCTCAACGTGTACATTCCGCCGTTAAATATGCCTAATATCAGTCCACTTCTAGTGCTAGGGGATTTCAATGCCCATCATGAATTATGGCATTCCGTCCTAGGTAATGATCAGAGAGGTATGGCGCTGGCTGAGCAAATTGATAGCTCCTCGTTTTGCACAGTGAATGAGGACGCGCCCACCAGAATAAGGGGAGACTGCCACAGTTCTCCGAATGATGTAACTTGACAATCACTCATTTCTCTAAGCTCATACCACCTCCCCATTATTGTCGCCATCAACAGACCACCCGACTTCTTTGACTCTGAACGCCGCACTTTCCTTAACCATGGAAAAGCCAATTGGCAAGAATTCAGAGAATATACCAATCGCCGCTTCAGAGAACTACCCAACCCGCACTAACCCTAATAACCCCAGAGTCAGGGAACTTATTCTGGAGGTAAATAGGTTAGTAGGTGAGCCATAAGCGGAAAATTTGGTTAGAACATCTGAAGCATTGCAACATCAGTACCGGAACGAGTAAATTGTGGGTGCCGAGGGTCCAAGCCTCTCCACAAATTAGAGATCCTTCGTCATTGTGGGAATCTGTACATGGTCCTTCGAGACTTTTAAATGAATTGAGCGGCAGGAACAACTCTAGTTTAGTAAAAACTCTTCGATTTTTTCGAACCCTGATCCCGGGAAACTATTTTTTTCTTGGGAGGACAAACCCGGACCCCAGATTTTTGACCTGAAAGTCCGGGATCAAGACCCCGCCCGGACCCGGATCCCGATATAGACAATATGGGTAATATCGATTGAAAGCTTATGGAAATACCTATCCAACAAGTGGTCACATGAAGGGGTAAGTTGTCATGGTTCGGAAGTTATAGTCAAATTATCGAAACCCCCAAAAAGTCAACAAAATTGTTTCCAAATTATAGCTGACACTCTTATCTTTCCAAAATGCTACAATTTGTGCTAATACTTTTTTCGAGTCCAGAGATATGGGTCTTTCCATCCGCATAACCCGATTCTAACCAGTTCATTAAAATGATGTTTTCAATAAAAAAGTGTTTATTTCGCGTAGCAGTCGTAGGAATGACAAAAGTTTACTAAATTTGGCACTTTTTGTATATAGCCGGCCTTCGGCCGGGGCTTGAGATTTTTTCCTCTGAGTATGTCCAACACCGGCTAACGCGAACAAAAGGTTTCTAAATTCGGCACTTTTTGTAAATAGTCGGCCTTCGGCCGAGGCTTGAGATTTTCTCCTTTGGGTGTGTCCTACACCGGCTAACGCGAACCAAAGTTTTCTAAATTGGATACCTTTTGTAAGTAGCCGGCCTTCGGCCGGGGCTTGAGATTTTCTCCTCTGGGTATGTCCAACACCGGCTAACGCAAACCAAAGTTTCCTAAATTTGACACTTTTTGTAAGTAGCCGGCCTTCGGCCGGGGCTTTAGATTTTCTCCTCCTCTGTCACGGTTCGGAAGTTGTAGTCAAATTATCGATTTTTTGGACCCGGATTTTTTTATGAAACCCCCAAAAAAGTCAAAAAAAGGGCCCATTATGGGGGTCAACATAATGGTTTCCAAATTATAGCTGACATTCTTACCTTTCCAAAATGCTACAATTTGTGCTAATACTTTTTTCGAGTCCAGAGATATAGGTCTTTCCATCCGCATAACCCGATTCTAACCAGTTCATTAAAATGATGTTTTCAATAAAAAAGTGTTTATTTCGCGTAGCAGTCGTAGGAATGACAAAAGTTTACTAAATTTGGCACTTTTTGCATATAGCCGGCCTTCGGCCGGGGCTTGAGATTTTTTCCTCTGAGTATGTCCAACACCGGCTAACGCGAACAAAAGGTTTCTAAATTCGGTACTTTTTGTAAATAGTCGGCCTTCGGCCGGGGCTTGAGATTTTCTCCTTTGGGTGTGTCCTACACCGGCTAACGCGAACCAAAGTTTTCTAAATTGGATACCTTTTGTAAGTAGCCGGCCTTCGGCCGGGGCTTGAGATTTTCTCCTCTGGGTATGTCCAACACCGGCTAACGCAAACCAAAGTTTCCTAAATTTGACACTTTTTGTAAGTAGCCGGCCTTCGGCCGGGGCTTGAGATTTTCTCCTCCTCTGTCACGGTTCGGAAGTTGTAGTCAAATTATCGATTTTTTGGACCCGGATTTTTTTATGAAACCCCCAAAAAAGTCAAAAAATGGGCCCATTATGGGGGTCAACATAATTGTTTCCAAATTATAGCTGACATTCTTACCTTTCCACAATGCTACAATTTGTGCTAATACCTTTTTCGGGTCCAGAGATATGGGTCTTTCCATCCGCATAACCCGATTCTAACCAGTTCATTAAAATGATTTTTTCAATAAAAAAGAGTTTATTTCGCGTAGCAGTCATCGGAATAACAAAAGTTTTCTAAATTTTGGCACTTTTTGTAAATAGCCAGCCTTCGGCCGGGGCTTGAGATTTTCTCCTCTGGGTATGTCCAACACCGGCTAACGCGAACAAAAGGTTTCTAAATTCGGCACTTTTTGTAAATAGCCGGCCTTCGGCCGGGGCTTGAGATTTTCTCCTCTGGGTATGTCCAACACCGGCTAACGCGAACAAAAGGTTTCTAAATTCGGCACTTTTTGTAAATAGCCGGCCTTCGGCAGGGGCTTGAGATTTTCTCCTGAGGATATGTCCCATACCGGCTAACGCGAACCAAAGTTTTCTAAATTTGACACTTTTTGTAATTAGCCGGCCTTCGGCCGGGGCTTGAGATTTTCTCCTCTGGATATGTCCAACACCGGCTTACGCGAACCAAAATTTTATAAATTTGACACTTTTTGTAAATAGCCGGCCTTCGGTCGGGGCTTGAGATTTTCTCATCCTCTGTCATGGTTCGGAAGTTATAGTCAAATTATCGATTTTTTGGACCCGGATTTTTTATGAAAATTACCCGATATAGACAATATATTATCGTTGGCTTATGAAAATACCTATCCAACAAGTGGTCACATGATGGGGTAAGATGTTACGGTTCGGAAGTTATAGTCAAATTATCGATTTTTCGGACGCGGCCGAAGGCCGGCTATTTAC